TCCAAAAAAATAAAAATTCCACGAAATACATTAAATTTAAATATTTTCATTATTTTCATTTTCATTATTTTTAAAAAAAAAAATTTCAGAAAATTTAGAAAAAAAAAAAATTTAAATTTTTAAAAAAAAAATTTTTTTAAAAAAATTTTTTTTTTAAAAATTTAAATTTTTTTTTTTTCTAAATTTTCTGAAATTTTTTTTTGGAAAAAAAATTTTTTTTAAAAAAATATTTAAAAAAAAAATTTTTTTTCTAAATATTTTCTGAAAAAAATTTTTTTTTCCAAAAAAAAAATTCCAAAAATTTTAAAAAAAAAAAAAAAATTTAATTTTTTTAGAAAATGTTTGTTTTTCTAAATATTTTCTAAAAAAATTTTTTTTCATTATTTTTCAAAAAAAATTTCAGAAAATCTAGAAAAAAAAATTTATTTTAATTTATTTAAAAAAAAAATTTTTCTAAATATTTTCTGAAAAACAATTTTTTTTCATTAATTAAAAAAAAATTTTTTAGAAAATTTAGAAAAAAAAAAAGAAAAATTTTCTGAAAAAAACTTTTTTCATATTTTTTTAGAAAAAAAAATTTTAGAAACGTTTTTGAAAAATATTTTTTCATATTTTTTTAGAAAAAAATGTTTTTTAGAAATTTTTTTTTTTTGAAAAATAATGAAAAAGATTTTTTTTTCAGAAAATGTTTAGAAAAAATTTTGTTTTCAGTGGCACTTTGGCCCAGAGCCAATGACTATGTCATTGGTGTGGAAACCAAGGGTTAACCTCCTGGGCAAGTTTGAATCTCGGTTAGGGATTTGGTACCTTCCAGTGGACTATGAATATTTCAAAAATCACCCAAAACATGGCTTACCATCGTAAAATAGAATACATTTTTTGGAAATAGGTTTAAGAAAAAATATATATTTTGGGAAAAAGTTTTAAAATTTTTTTCAAAAATGGTAAAATCAACATTTTTTTAATTTTTTTTGGAATTTTTTAAAAATCTTTTTTTTGAAACGTTTTTTTTTAATTCATGGAAAAACATTCTTGATAAACGTTTTTAGGAAAAAATTGTATTTTTTGTATTTAGAAAAAAGAAATTTTTTCTAAAGTGTTTCGGAACATTTTTTTAAAAAAGATCACTTAATCTTAAAATATCTGAAAAAAAGAGTTTCTTTTTACCAAGAATTTTTTTCCAAAAATTAAAAAAAGAAATCTTGGGAAACGTTTTTGAAACAACAATTTTATGAAAAATTAAACATAATATATATATTTTTTGAACATTTTTAGCCTCTTATTTTCAGTAAAAAACTAAAAGAATTTGACAAAAATCATGTAAAAATATTTTTTTTAATTGTATCTTTTTCGGCATGTTTCTCATAAAATTAGAGAGATTTTTTTAAAGATTTTCTGTCAAGATTTGAACTTTTTGTCAGTTTTGAAATTGACGAAAAAAAGTTTTGACAAAAGAAAATTCAAAGTTTTATCTTTTCTGCATGTTCTCCATCAAAATATAGCTTTTTTAAAAAAGATTTGGAAAAATATATTTTTCATATGTTTTCTGCAAGATTCTCATTGAAATGTAGCGTTTTGAAAATTTTTATGAAAAAACTTTATTTTTGGAATTTTATGGCAAACCCAAATTTTTGGTCAGATGATGACAGATGTCAGATGATTGTATCTTTTCTGCATGTTTCCCATCAAGTTAGAGCATTTCGAAAACATTTTTAGGAAAAACATTTTTTGGGAATTTTTTGGCAAAATCTGAGTTTGTCATGTTTTGGTCCGATGGTGAAAAATTTTGCTGATAATTTTTCAACAAAAAAAATTCAAAATTGTATCTTTTCTACATGTTTCTGATCGTATTGTTTTTAAATTAATCTATTTTTATTTTTAACCATAAAAAAGGGCATAGTTATGTATTTTAAGGCAAACTGGTGCATTTTTACTCGTTTTATACGTTTTAAACATTATCTTGATTTAACCAAGTAAATGTGTATATTTACCTTAAGTTGGCGAATAACGCTGGGTGGTTGTCTCGCAGGTGATGAAGCATGGTGGACGTATTTCTTCCTTCCATCGCATGTTCTTATGGCACGTTTTAAATGCTGGCAAGCCTTCATCCACGTCGACACCATGGTCATTTTCATCTGTAACCAAAATAACCCAAATTTAATGCGCTGTTTGAGGCAATAACTCTTCGTCTGCCAGTTCCCCCCACGTGTTAACGCCTCTCCTATGCAACTTGCAGGGGCCAAAATCAAAGCAACACCCGCGACAACACTCGTTACGTTGTAACCTTAGTTCCGTTCCGTTTGAGTTGCATTTAACTTTAGTTCCACCACATAACCCAAATTTAATGCGCTGTTTGAGTTTAACTTTAGTTCCGCCATATTATTTTCTGACCTATTAAGGAAACGTTACGATAAGTTCACCGTTGCGCATGATCCCGCAATTGGTGCATTTGTGGACTCTTTTTTTTTCCACGAAAAACCTAACCATGTATATTGTTTTTAGTCACGTTTTTGACCAAAAAGATGTGATTTTTTTTTTAAATTTCCTCGTCATTTAGGAATAATTTTTACAAACTAAGATATGATCATTTTTGGCATTTTGTTACAAATCAATCACATGGTTGCACGTTTTGTTGCATTTAATAATTTTTTTATGGTAACTTTTTATTTATTTTTCACAAAAGCCATACCTGTGTATGTTGCGTCTTGGTCAAGTATTTGACAAACCAAGATAAGACCTTTTTTTGGCATTTTTAATACAAATTACACGCGTGGTTGCACCAAGGAGAACATTTTGGGGCGAAATGTTCTCCTACCGAAAGGAATATGAGTACGAGAATGTTTCAAGTCTGATCTCCTAAAAGTATTCATTTATTTATTACTTAAAAGATTTTTTTTAAATTAAAATTATACACTTAGGTTTATAAAACCTAGTGTTTTGAAGACAGTTCATATATAAAATGTTTATACAAAAATCGCAGTACATTATTGCATTTAGACCTAAATATTTTGTCTTACCACAATGTATACACCTTGTTTTTGGGGCTTTTTTTGCAAATGTTGCAGAATATTATGGACTTAATTTTTGCAATTTCCCAATAACTCAACAAACTGAATGTCTTTGCAAAAGCATCTGTAGAACCTGAATTTGGGAAACACATTTGAAGACAAAGTCAAAGACACAGATGGACAGTTATTAAAAAAGACTATGTCACAGTGTCTTGGACAACACATTTAATATGAAGCCAATTGTCAGCAGTAAGGTGGAAATAGTTCCATCGTCTTTTTTTACATCTTAAAAAATAATTGGTAACTTGTCACTGAAATAATGGAGATGAAACATTACAACCTGAACTCCACTTTAAAAAAAAACGACGTTTGTCTAAGTTTTGGCTAGGTTTAGGTTTTGTACCTTATTGTTCAGGGATTTACATGTGATGTTGAGGTAAAAATGTAAAACCAATTGGAAAACATGGCCATCACTCCACTTCTTCATATAAATGTTTGTTACCAATAAAAAAAAATTAAATCTTCAGTAGATCTGACGTCAACAAGGGTGATCAACCTGGGACCGTGGCACAGGTTTGGCTGTAAATACATGACAGATTCATTAAGGCAATCAAAGAATTTAAGATTTTCTTAAATGTAAAAACTTGGCAAAAACACATCAATGCAAAAAAAATATATATATTAGCAGTAAAATGTGCACAACAGAAAAGTTGCTAATTGTTAGCTTACTTCAAAGCCAGGGACAGATGAGACGAGGATGACGATGAACCACAGGCATCGCTGTCTGTCCAGCCGACAGCTTAAAGACTTCAATCATATAAATATATTTTTAAACAGTGTACAATGAACAATTTTAAACGCTGTGACTCCTGCAGGTTAAAACGGGGTAAAAAAGAGTTAGACGAAGTCAAATTGGACAGTCTGGAGTGGACGTAGGAGTCAAATGCATTTTCACAGTAACACAAAGGTAGACTTAGCAAAATACTGATTAAAAAAAAAAAATCACTGTAAAAAATGACTACAAGAATCACTATAAGAAATGTCCAATCAATTAGAGCCAAATTCATTTGTATCAGAAATTTGAGTTAAACTGAATTTTAGTCCGGTTTAATTGGTCAAAATGTAAATAAAATGTGGAAAATTCAAATCAGTAGGCAAAAACAAAGTCTCCATAATGGAGAGCAGAGGATAATCATTAAAATGGGTCAATTATTAAAAAAAAAATGAATCAATTAATTGACTAGTAGTTGCAGTCCTGTCTTAAATATTTAAACATCCAAGAATCAGAATTTAAATGGAATCATAATTTTAAGCTTTTGCACATTTCATCTTAAGAAATTTCTTCTTTTTTTTTTTAAAGGAATTCATGGTCACCATCTATATTAATGTATAAATCCAGAAAACCTCAGCCCATAAAGCTGCAAGGTACAAAGGCTTAAAACAAAACTGGAATAAAAACCCTGAATCGCTACCAAAAGACTAAAAATCTGTAGCTGTGGCACCTGAAATGGAAAGATCTGACACACAAAAAAAGTGTTAGCTTATAACAGGAGCTGCTAAGAGAATCGGAGCGGAACATTCTCTAACCAGCGAGGGAATCTGAGGCCTGACTATTCACAGCAGATGAGACCTGGAATCCGAGGAGCACGAAGCCAACGTTAATAAAGACTGATAGACGTGACCGACTCGCACATTAAAAAAAGAAAAAAAAAATCCTCAGGACTTCATCTTCCGCTCAGTAATAGTGGCAGATCTGCAGTCTGCTCCCGGGATCGTATTTCCCTGGGCTAAAGAACGGAGACACCGGCTCCTCGAAGCACGTGTCAAACATGTAAAGTCTCTTCATGGTGACGGCGTCGTAGAAACTCAGAAGCCCGTTGTCATAGTCCAGATACACGCCCACCCTGGGTGAGGTCCAGTAGTCTGCCACGGGGACACGGCCATCCTCCGTGTTGGCGTAGAGGCGGTCCTGCAGGCAGATGCTCCAGTATCCTGCGGATGGGGCCAGGCTGACGTAGCCTTTCCTGTTGCTGCTGACGGTGGTGACCCCCAGGTACCACACGGCTTTGTCCCTCACGTCCACCTCCCAGTAGTGTTGACCGCTGGAGTACTTGGCGATGCCCAGGACGCCGCAGAAGCGCGTGAAGCACTCGGGCATGTCAGCCTCGTTGCGACGGACGCAGCTCTCCTCCACTTTGGTGTCGAAGTCAGAGATGTCCAAGTACGGGTGAGCTGTGGACGGGTCCAGCGTCAGGTTCTGAGGCACTAAAAAAATAAAAAGAGAGTGATTTATTTATCTTGTTTCTCCTGTTCATTTATACTGCTAAATTAAAAGAAAAACTGACTGGTGTGCAGCACGTGCATCATCTTCTTCCACATGATGAGCTGGAAAGGACCTGAGAAGTTTGTAAAATCGGTCTGACAAGGCATCGGTTCCAGGGAAGTCAAGTCGAGTTCTCTATCAGAGAAAAAGAAAAGAAAATGATTTGAGTTGAAGAGGTGGAAAAAAATAAATTTACATTAAAAAATAAATACCTAAAATGACATAAACATCTATATTACTGTGATATTTTCAGGTTCATGCAATAGTTACCAGCTTTAGTCGACTTACTTTTTGTAGGAGGCGTAAAGGCTCTGTTGGGGGGAGGAGGAAAAAAAAATCAGTTAGATAAACATTGACATTTCACACACTGATATTACTGTACGTTTAGTCGTCAGTTTTTTCTCATAACAAGCGCCAGAAAAAAAAGAGTCAAATCTTATAACATTTTTGTTAAAATAAATAAATAAATAAAAAGTCAAATATCTCAAATATTTCATATGAACACATGTATTCAAACCAAAAGGCAGGTTTTTCTTCCACTCACATCAAAGCTGGTCTCGTCACTAAGATGACTGTGAATGTCAGCTAAACGTTTGTCCACATACGCCTCCTCTGCCTCCACCGTCTGCAGGTTGTGCTCGAGGACGGCCAAGGTTGAAGCTTCCTCCGCCTCCAGGCTCTCCAGCAGAGAGTCCCTCTCGTCAAACAAGAACTGGACCAGAGCGCCGACGTCGGCCTCGATCTTCTCCTTCAGTCTCTGTTTCTTTTCCTGAGGAGGATAAGGAATTTAATAAGGAGCTCATGATTATTTAAATTGAGTGCTCGGTTTAATAAAAAATGTAAAAGGACCAGAAAAGGTTTATAAGTGGAAAATTTCTAAAAAAAGTTATTATGAAGCGTATGATGTGTTGTATTGAGATGTCAGCAGTCACTCACGTACCCTCAGTTCATTTTTGGTGCACTCATCAGCTGCTTTAACGTTGTCACATTCAGACTTCTGCCAGTTGAGTTCCTTTAGTCTCAGCTTCAACTCCATCTGGACCACACAGGACCATCCAGACAAACAAAAAGTGTGGTTACTGCATGGCACAATTAGATGTGACTGATAATATATTGACAACATACCTTCATATCATTTATAACTTCTGATGCTGGCGCCACCTCGTGGTGTCTGAAATTACATAAAAAGGTCAGATTCAGGTCAGATTATATAATGAGTGTGTCAGACTCAGAATAAAAAAAAAATTTCAAATGTTATATTTTTCTAAAATGAACCCAACATTCCCACAGAGAAGAAAACATCAGTTGTTTCAGTATCTGGTTCAATATAATACAATCAGTTCATTTGTGAATGTGACCTTGGGCACGGCAGAAGTAGGATATCTATGACACAAGTTTGGCAGATGAATAACACAGTCAAGATTTAAAGAAGACAAATGTTTGGTGTGCAAATATTTGATTATTGAAATCAACAATGTTCACATTTGCATTCATTATTTGCTTTTTTTTTATCCACCATTTGACTTTTACTGAAACTCACATAGTCAGTGGAAAAACACTGAAACGACCAGCCTGACTTTATGCGTGCTAGTGAGTGATGGGAAATTATACTTATTATCTATTCTTCAGTTCCTGTTAGACCTTGAGAACTGTATACACACATACTCCCTGTTTCTGAGTTACTGTTAGGCCAGATAATCTCACAGGTGGCGAGAAAATGTTAACAGTAAGGGTGGACAAGAAAAAAGTACCATTGGGACCAACCTGTGTGACCTGGACTCACGACACACCACACAGATGAGCCTGTTATCAGTCTGACAGTAGAGTTTCAGCTCTTCTCCATGTTGTTGGCACTTCCCATACACTTTCACAGGCTTGGGGGAGGTTGGAGCCAGATACCCCAGATCATCCATCCTGTCAACCAGGTTCTGGGCCATAAAGTTTTTGGTGAAGGTTTTCTTGTTGAACACCTGAGGACCAAGACAAAAAAAAAAGAAAGAAATATTGTGGTTTGGCCTTGTGATGTGTTACATTTGAGGCATATTAAACTTTAATTATTTTTGCAATGAAGGACATCTTGTGTTTGTCTGTGTTAAAATGGCATAGTACTTAAGTATTGACCTTGAGATAACAGGACTTTCTTAACTGGGGAAAAAGCCAGACAATACCAGTCGTATTTTGACAAAAATAAACCAAAATATAGGGGGTTATGCAACAGGCAAACAAAGTAATTTAATCCTCTTCCATGGAATTAACATGTCTTTGCACAAAACAGTATTAGACAATTCTTGTTTCTATTAATGTGCAAGTAACAAAAAAACATCCTTGAATCTTGAACTACCTCAATAATATCATTGTCACCGTTGAAGACCTAAAAATATTTACAATTTATAAAATACAATACCCTATATTAACTAAATTTAAGCTATTTAGTGACACTGAGTGTATACGAATAATCATAGAAGAAGAATACATCTCAGCTAATGTAACGTTTAGCTTTTAGATCTCTCAGCATTTCCTCATCTACAATGCTAAAAGACACTGACCACAGAAAATTGCTCTCTTTCTGAAGATACTACCTAGCAACTTGGCTAGCTTTGTTGAACGATATGTAAAATAGCCGTAGCTGTTAAAAGCAGCATAACAAAACTACTGTGGATTATTTAAATACAAGACAACCAAGAGACTTTCGCCTAACTCTCAATCTCGACCAAACTGAAATCTGGCCGGATAACAGAAAAAACGTTTGGCTTTTTACCGTTCGGCACTGGGGACACTGATAGCCGTACTCCCCGCCATTTTCATCCCAGTGGAGACAAATACAAAAACGACAGAAACTGTGGCCACATTTTAAAAAGACTGGCTCCTTGAAAAGGTCCAAACAGATGGCACAAGTCAGCTCCTTCTTTAGGTCCTCCCCAGCTGCTCCGGCGGTCGCCATGCTTTCAGTCCAACAGCAACAGAAGCAGATGCGGCAGCGGCGCTTTAACAACAGGAAGTGATACAGGAAGTAGCTGCGAATTCAACCAATCGTAAGCCAGGGACTAAAAACGGCTCGCCCAACAGTATGGATGGGCAATACCAAATCATTCTAATTCTATATGGCACCGATACCCTTTGATACGACATTACATTTACGATATTGCGATTCCATTTCCGTTACTATGGTAATATTTAAAATAGGTTTAACGGATGGCGGTAAATAACATAAACCTGTCCTTATTTAGAAAATCGACTTATTCGCTGACTTATTGAACACTTGATTTCCCACAGACCCGCTGGTTTCTCATTGGCTAATTTTAGCTCCGGTAGCGACCAAGTATAGGTGGCGTACAAACGTCTTATTTCGCTGACGTATATGACGATGGTAATACGTCAAAAGTAAAAAGTCTAAATAATTAAAGATTTCTTACCCAAACCAATCCAAATTCAAGCCAGGTGTGTACAGTTAATGGTGAATTAAAAATAATGAATTCACTCTTCGTTGAACGTAGGCGAAACTTATCATGCTAATGCGCTTAGCCTTCTTTCTTCTATAGGCTTTACCAGCAGACCACAATCTTGTGACTTGCATGGTTGCCCCCTATTGGATCTCTTTTTACAACGGTAAAGATTCCATCTACAGGACATTGATCCCTTGGTGATGTTCACAGGCTTAATACATTCTGTGACCCTCTAAAAAATAACCAAGGAGCAGTAAAAGATAATAATAATAACAAAACAATAATTGAAAAAAAAATCTACCAGTTAGCAACAATATTTATTCTTAAATACATGTAAATAAAAAGCAAGTCATAAAAGACACAAAGTGAATACAACATTTGATATTTTGTTTGTGCTAAAAATGTTATAGGAACACATGGAAAGAATTGTCTGTTGAACAGTACATTGCATAGCTGGTATCAGTATGTGTGGGATGCGACTCAAAAAGTGCATTTGTGATGCCGTGTATGGTGTTATTCCAAAAATGATCAGGGCTGAAAACAACATCTAAACCTGCCTATGAAGACAACAGGGAGTTGTAGGTTAAAGAGCCACATGTCGGTAAAAGCCCTGACAAAAATCAGAACTAAGTTCACAATCAGGACTCACCATCACATCAACTTAGACAATTACAAGCTTTGATCTGAGCATAACGTTTATCTAACAAGACACAGGTTTAACAGAGAAAATAAAACACATGGTGTTACCAGTGATATCTCTAGAATAATGGAAAAGGTCCCTCCAGTATTTTTCTGACATGGTGACATACTGACTTGTACACACAAAACTACTTTGTTTACAGTACATTGCATAGCTGGTATCAGTCAACAACAACAACAAAAAAAACAAACAAAAAAACCCCCCCAAACAAACAAAATAAAAAAACCCATGCAGCACGGTTGCCAAAAATAAAGCTTCCAAGAACACCATGTGTGGACAACAGGCGTCATCACTGGACCAGATTACAACGATGCAAATGTAGCACAGTTTATTCCCTGTGATATATATATAAAAAAAATAAACTCCTGAGATGAGAGTGTCTTTACACACACATATCTCAACCAGTGTCATTTATATAAAAACAAAGATACACTACAGAAACATAAAGATGGAGCGCACTGCAAGGTTTTCAGGCTGCATTTTTTTATGTAAGAGTTGTGTGGGTGAACATTTGGCTAAGACGTTACGTGGTTACCACAAGTGAACCACAGAATTTGGACCAACTTTGTGTACAAGTCTTGCATGGACGTGCTGACACAGGAACACAGCAGGTGCAAGAAGCAAATATTTCTTTAACCTGCTGCTGCAGCCGGGTTTTATATTATTTAGATACAAAGTCATTGGCTGTTTATTTCCAATTAGGTCAAAATCTTGACTGTATATAAAAAAGTGAAGTAGACCATGTCAGTATCTTGTTTGGGGAACCCAAAAATTGTCAATGCCAAAACAATTGCACAAATTCTTACTTTTCCTGACACCACTGACAGCTCAGGGTAGCAATAATAAACCTGAATTAATAAACAATGGATGGTTCAGATGTACTAAGTAAGGCTGGGTGGAAAACTGACGGTTTTGGATATAATACTACATAAATAGAAGTTTTCAGGTTGTCAGTTGCTAGTTTTTGACAATGACAATTGTGTTAATTTTGGGTTAATTTTAAGGGAAATATCAGACAAAGATAAAGCTCAACAGAAACAGAACAAATTGTATTAGTGGACAAAGTGTGATTGACAACTCAGCCGTTTATCAGGAGCCTGATAGAAGTGACATCAGTGAGGTCTGGTCTACAAAAACATGCCTACATTATTTTTGGACGTGCCCTCTGTTGTTGGACAAACTTTTCTGACAAATATGCTTTTAATGTTAATTATTTAAAGTGGACTTTTATTGGCTCTCTGTGTACTACACCATTCTGAAGGGACAGAGCTTCCTCAGGCACTTTAACACGATGCTTCAGTTTACTACTGTTAGACCCAGTACTTCAGTGTAGCTCCTAGTGGTGGAAATGTACAGTGTGTGGTACTGTCCCTTGTTCATGGCACTACATTGTGTCGTGGAAGAATAGAAGAAGAGAGAGTGGGGAGACATGCTGGAATGTTGAGTGATGTTTGTCTGTGCTGTTTTCTGTTGCAGTGGCCGAGGTGCTCAATGACTAGAATACTGTAGAAACCCCCTTTTCCCAAAAACAAACATGGATACCCACACACACACACATTCACACACACATTCACACACACTTGATCTCAGATTTTTGGTGTTATGAAAGTAATTTGATATCAGTTTAAAATAAAAAAAGGAAAGGAAAGGAAATCCAAAGTTTTATAAAAGCTCCCTCTCCCCTTTGTCCGTCGCTCGCCCCACCAGCCTCAGACCTCCGAGCTGTTGTGGCAGTCCTGCATCCTCACCACTAACATGGGCTCCGTGCTGACCGACCCTCTCACCACTTCCTGCACCTCCTCCCGCAGTCCCTCCTTCGCATCCTTCTGCCTGGACCTCAGCACCAGGGCGATGACGACAACGATGAGGACGGTCAGCAGCACGCCAACCAGTGCCCCCACCACCGTCACCACCCCCTCCTCCTGCTCCTCTGCGTTCAGCTCACTGGGTCGCAGCCCATGGTCGAGCACCTCGTCCAACCTGCCTGCCCGCCGCTTGGTGCGGTCCAAAGCGATGTGCATGATGTTGGTGCCACGGCTGTTTTCTGCCCCAATGTCCTCGACGATCTCCGGGACGTCGTCGGCCGCCGACCTCCTGGAGCGGAGACTGCTGACTCTCGATTTGGTCAAAGTGAGATCGCTGCTCGCTGAAGAGAAGGAGTGATACTCGAGGCTGCGCTTCCCAATACCTCGGTTTGCACTTTCTTTGGAGCGGACGGTATAAATAGTGTGAATGAACCACTCACGACCCGCAGCAACCTGGAGGAAAATAGAATAACACCAGAATATGAAATCTGGTTTTAACTGATAATATTTTTGTACAAAACCTCTGGTATGTTATGTTGTTATGTCTTATTATATATAATATATATATAATATATACAGTATATACATATATTAATATATACATATATACTGTATATAATTATAAATATATATGTATCTAATTATAAAAAATAAAATAAAAAATATATACTGTATATTATTTACATTGAAAATTAAACATATAATATAATACACATATATGTATATATATTTTTAAAATATTCAGTAATTAAGTTTCTTCAGGATATTTAACAACATTCACATTAACATAGACATGAATGTATAATATCTGCCACAAACCAGCTGGCTCCGGCTGCAGAGAACTGATCATTGCTGTGTACCTGGAACATGGCAGTAGAGTCCAGTCTAAAGCCGTCAGACCCTGGCTGTCTGACCAGGGACAGAGCTGAAGGATCGTCCACTGCCAGGACAGAGTTGAAACTGACATCTCCAAACGCCTGAGCCTGAGTCTCTGGCTGAGCCTTGTCCTAATGTGTGGGAAAACATTGTTGAATCTCGCTGTGATCTACGTCTACAACTACAGTAAACACAGAAAACTCACCAGAATCTTGAATCTATAGAGCAGAGACGGAGAATCGGCCAGGCAGCCAAATTCAAACTTGGTGGGATTGTATTTTGGAACGTATCCATCTGCACCCGTGCAGACGAAGACCTTCTCTATGCTGCAGAAGAAGGAATCTCCGAGGTTCTGAACAGGGTCCACCATCACACGGCCATAGATTGTATCACCCTCAGAAAAGGCGACGTCACTTTCCTGGCCAAAACCCATGGAGCCGTCGGAGAGCCACAGGCTCCTCTTGGACAACAAGAACATCTGAGTGTTCAAACTGAACTCCACCGCCACCGGGTCACTCACCTGACAAAGAGAGGACACAGTGATGGACACAGGGTCTTCTGAAATATTTTTCTCTAACAGTAAACATTCATTGTTTCAGATCTTACTTGCTGGAATCTGATATCCAAGTCAAACGTGACGGGTTCTCTGGGACTGCAGACGGGCGGAACCGTGTACTCCGTGTTCTGGGCTGTTGTACAAGGGATCAGTTTGACTGTGTACGTCCCAGAGTAGTCTCTCACCTGGTTGAAGAAGACGAGACAGAAGCACGAGTGTCAGTCTGTGGCTGAGCTTCCAGACAAACAGGAGACGATTAAACAAGCGCTCTTACAGCAAAGTCAGACGTGAACATCCACTGTTGCACCGGCTGGTTGTAGGTGGGTTCACTCCTCACTAAGGTGAGGTTAAAGGTCAGGCCAGGGTGGTCCGAACTCATCACCACAGAAGTCATGGGGGTTTCTTGGAAAGAGGTGGCGAGATGATGGAGGGTTAGTGATGATGGCAACAGATGACCACGTTTCCAATCAATCAATCAATCTATCTATCTACTTAGAATATCTATCTATCTATCTGACTAATATGTCAGAACACACCAGATCGTTTGATTCGTCCTCCAGAGTGGGCCTGGACAAACAGACCCCTGAAACGAGCCTTGGTTCGGAAATTCACCACCAGTCGACCCTGCTCATTGATACGCATGCTGGTGGGATATAAAGCACCTGAAATATGATGAACACATACAATTAATTAATAAAATTAATTAAAGGAAACATTTTTCATTACATTTTTCAGAACATTTTTCTTGGTTAAAATATAGTGTTCCTTCAGTATGTACAGTAATTAGCCACAGGGTCCTGGTGACCGACTCACCCTGGAGGTCAGCCTGTGGGGGGCTGCCGATGCCGTCCTTCCACAAAATGGCGGTGTCGTACACAAACGTCAGACGCAGCTCCGACTGCAGGTCAAAGTGCTGCCAACCACCGGTTCCCACGGGCGAGTGGAACACGTAGGACACGTATAGAGGGACACGCAGCGTCACGTAGGACTGGACCAAGTTCAGCACCTGTAAGGACATTTGTATTGTTTTATATATACTCTTTGTTTTATTTGTCGATTTTTTCTTTGAGTTGAAACAATAATTACGTAAGTTAACAATTTTGAAAACATTAGCTGCAGTCCCATAAATTATCCACGAGGTGTCTCTGTTCGCCAACATTGTCTACTCGCATTCTGTTTCCTCAACATTTTTATTTAATGACTGAACTGAATTAACAGAGCACATAAAACAGTTTAGGCACAAAGTTAAACGTAAAGTTAAACGCAGTTTTCTATGATTTTTTTTTTTTTAGCAAAACAGAAACAACTGAAGTTTAGTCCTTGTGGTTAATGAAACCCAATCTGCAAATCCAGGGCTTTTGAAATTTCACAATCATTTTTTTGAGTTTTAATGTGTCTTTTGTTGCACGCCCACTTTTACTGGAACAAGGAGTAGAAGACTAATTAAGCGAGTCTCTGCTGTAGGCCTAATGAAGCCCATTATAACCAAATAATAGATTTATAAAAAAAAAAAAACCCAAGCCTGACTTTGCATTTAGTCTTTGGAAAAAAAACAAGTGTGGACTCGATCACAGTGGCAGAGCTTCCGGCTGGTAACTGAGGTGGCGGCATGACAGTGATGCCCCTTAATGAAGGCACTGGAGGTCCTGCTGTCGACGTGCACTGTGGGTAACTATGCATGCAAGAGGTTCTGGCTGTGACTGGAGACAAGTAAATTAATTTCCTATTTGCTCTCATTCTTCCCCTCTGTTTCCGCCCACACACAGAAATACACTCATTCACAACTCATACACTCTCGCTCTATCACACACACACACATACTCACACACACTTCACAGCCTGAGCAGCAACCAGAAGCTCATGGATCAAAGGCTGAATGAACACAAAAGAGCAGCAGGACCAGAGCAGGGATCTGTTTTCTGATGCACAATAACAGCGAGACGCAGGAGGAAAACTGCAGCCACTGCAATGATGCAACAACATCCTGCTGCAGCAGCATCAGCTGCAGGTGCAGGAGAGTCGGTGGAAGTTTGTCGGGCTCAGAGTGACAGCTGTCAATAACTGAAATGGGCGAAGCCTCGACTTCTCTGGAGAACCACGCTGCTTGAAGTAAGAAGTGGACCCTTAACCCTGACAACACGCTGCTCCACCCTGCTTCTTCTTCCTCCTTTCATGATTTCACAGATTTCCTGTGATTCTACACCCACTGATGCCCCATGTGGAGAGCCGTGGCAGCAGAACTGACAGATTTGAGAGTGCCCGTTTCTACTGTACTGCAGGGCCACAGAACTGCACGCAAAAATCACGAGCTGCCAAGCACACGTCGGTCGAGCATTTACTGGGCGGGAAAAAAAGGCAAACAGAGTTGATGCCGCTGTGCCTTTAAATAGACTGAACACACACGGGCTGACAGTGGAACAGATGTACACACAAATCCTAGATTAGAATGTATGAGGTGTTGGCATACAGTGGATACACAAAGTTTACACACTTCCCTTTGAAATGTTCAATATCTCCATGTGAAGTAAAGACGCCAGGATGTTTATTTCAGGCTTTTAGGAAACACGAAATCTGCTCATTTCTATTAAAAACACCTTTCCAAAAGCGGAAAAAAGGGGAAGTAATTAAATTAAAATAAATTAAATAATGCTGTGGTTCAACGATGGCATCACAAACAACTAGATATTTTTCGATATTTTTCAAAGACTAGACTGCAACATTAAAGAAGCTTCAAAGACTCTCTCTATGAAAAATATAATATAAAAAACAAGGTATTTAAATGGAACTTTGTGTCAAATTTCTTCCTTCTATTGTTTGCGTTGTGTACACACACATATAGAGAATTAAACCCACAAACCCCCACGCACCTGTCCGTCAGTGCCTATGGTTCCTCCACAGTCTGTGAGCAGCTCGGACATGTGGTAGTAGCTGTTGAACTCCCACAGACACGCTTCCAGGTTCAGGTTCCTGTAGAAGCGCAGCGTGCTGTTCCCCCGCAGAGGGCCGCTGAACTGATAAGGCACCGCGTCTCCCATGCTCTCAGGGCTGCGCGTGGACGGGGTGATGAACCCGTGGCTAGTGGTGACCTCGTTATAGTCCAGCACGTTGGAACAGCGGTGGTTCCCCACCCGGGTTCCATCTGGGCTGAGGGTGAGGTCGAAGTTCATGAGAGGGCGAGTGGAGATGACAGGAAGCATGCCTGCAAGGAAGGAAATGGGACGTGAGCAGCAGTTCAGAGGAAAATGATCAAAAAAGTTCTTATAGAAGAGTTTGATGCCTTTTGGCACAATTTTAGAGAAAATCCTCCATTTTGAGCACACCGCCACCTACCATACAATGTAGGCAATATTTTATCAAATCTATTTAAATGTAATTATGCGGTGGACCATTAAAGGATATTGTCAGATTACAGTTGTTTATTAGCCAAATTAGCAATTGGCTAAAATTAGCCAAATTAGCAATTGGCTAAAATTAGCCAAAATCTTTGATTTTAAGATTAGTTAAAAATAAAAACCATGTTTGTGGTCGTGTTTAAAACTTTTTTTTAAAGATTTTTTTTGCACAATTGCAAACTTTGACTAAAGTGAAAACGAAATGAAATGATAAATAATTTCATCTGCAGCCAAACATCTTCTGCGTACGACACGAGAAGCTGATTAAAAGTCAAGAAGTGAATGTAAAGCAGTGGTGGAGCTGGAGGCTTTGACATGAACCAGTCTGATCTGGTTCTCCTGCTCCTGTGAATATTACACAGACTACATTAAACCTCATCTGTGGGAGCAGCCCGGCCTGGGGGCGCTGACCTACCATCGATGTGAGGCATGGTGACGGTCACTTTGATCAGGTTGGGATGTTTGGGGTCGTCCGTGCCGGTGTAACGCAGCTTAGCGGAGAAGGGCTCGGCTCCGACTGTTCCCATTTTACGTGGTTGGCACAAACCTGTGAGGGATGGAGAGGATTACGTGGTTGGCACAAACCTGTGAGGGACGGAGAAGACGAGAGGACGGTGTTCACGGACCACGACCTGCACTGATGTAGCACTGTAGTAGCCACATATGCTAGAAATAGCATTTATCATATGTTATTGTTACCAGAATGCTAATGTAGCGTAAAATAGCATAATTTAGATATTTGTTGATTTCAGAAAAAGCTGGAGTTAAAAAAAAAGTTATTCTGAAAAACGACATTTAGCAGTTTATTAGCAGTGGATGCTATCGACACACTCCATCATGGTACAGTAAGCTAGGCTTACATAAGTAACTGTTGGGAAGGTTTGCAGACTCTTTTTAAAGCAGAAGCTCTGTAATTTATCATAAAATCTTTAGCATAATGTATCATCTTTATCCACAGCCAAAAATATTCCAAAAGAAGTCAGGGACTCCGGAGAAAACGCTGCCTGTTAAGGCGTCTGTCTCCGACTGGAAACATCTGGAGCATCAGGAAAAAAAGGAATCTGACAACAAAGACGGCAGACTATTGAGCAGCTCAAGACATTAATGCAGCAGGAGATGGCAGAAATATTCATTATTAACTTCATTTACATAGTTTATATTTATATATAGAAATATATAAACATATATTGTTTATATTCTGTTCCTGTCAATCGTTTAAAGCAGTTTATACTGCAGGTTTTCTCATCTATTTACTGACAGCAGATCTGCCAGAGGAGCGGCATATAAACAAACACGTCCGGAATCAAACCTACCACCCTGCACATGTCAGACAACTGCCCTACCCGCTGAGGTACAGCCACTGGGTTCATTGTGTTTTTACTTGAAAATAATAACCCAATTAAAGGTGTTAGTTTTGGCTGCATTTTCAGGAACTTTCACCAACTTTTTCATGTTTTTTTTTTTCATCCAAACGTTTATGATCAATGAAAAGAACTGAATTCCTCCTATCTTTAATTCCAACTGTGGAACATTCGAAGCTGGAGACACAAAAACCAGTTCAGCTCTGTGCAATATTCATCAAATTACATCAGAGTTTCAACAAACAGACTCACACACACACATATATACATTTGTGAGGAGTGAGACCCAGTTTTCTTTCACCTCACGCCGTCGCGTCTTTTTATTAAGTTGCCTCTCAATCTTTCAGCTCGTCGCTGTTATGAAACAGCAGCGTTCTCTTAGTTTAGTTATAATTTCACTTTTTGCTACTTTTTGCTGCCCCCCCCTCACCCCCCCTACTTTAACAGATTGCACTTTGCTCCAATAAAAAACCTCTTAATCCACAGATAAGCGGTGATTGTTGTTTCCTCACCTTCCTCCTGGCTGATGGTGACGATAGGACTGCTCAGCTCCAAACCTTCCTCCCCGTTAGAATTGACAGCCCTGGCAGCACACTGAACCCTGGAGCCGGCCTGGAAGTAGACCGAGTCCAACGTGATCATCTTGGAGGAGGTGAAGAAGGTGTCAAAGTCCACTTCCCTCATGGGGCTGGTGACGCCGTCGGGCCCCGCTGGAGCGCTGATGAGCCAGCGGTAACGGGTCAGAGTGTTGTTGATTTGTTCGCTGACACAGATAGAGCCCGTCTTTTCGTAGTCGGGGTATTTTGTGTTGCAGGCCTGAGGGATGGATAAAGAAAATGGAGTGGGCCGGTGAAGAGATGGAGGAGATAGAGGAGACGCCGAAGGACAAAAGGGAAGAAGGGTGAGGAATAAGAATGAGTGAGTGTCTCCGGGCTAACGCTGCATTCTGTTTTTACAATTAGTTTTTATGCAGTTTACAAACCTTCATCGCCCACTTTTATCAAAAATGTAGGGGCCTTCAGTGTGGTATCTACAATGTGGGTCAGGTTCAAGGACTTTTAAAGATTCAGTTTTAACAATGTCTCATTTCACACAGCAGGGCTCCTCCAGGATTTCCAGACCAAGGACTCAAGTGTTTTATATCAAAACTGCTCTGTGCCTCATATAAACAAACAACAGCTAAATATATAATACACATATATACATATAAAATAATAAATACATCAATTGTCCGCCAAAACTTTTGCAACAGTAGCAGTACCTTCGGAGACCCACTGGGGTCATGGACCACCCTTTGGGAACCTCTGGATTACATTTTTATTTATCTAGTTTTTGTTAGCCTCCCATTGTCAAAAACATTTTTCACCTTTTTTTTCATAACTTACAGCTGGGTTATATGTTTTAGAGCTTTACGTTAATGTTTACCTATCATATACTTTTATGTTTTTTTTGTTTTGTTATCTTTTAAAAGATTACGGCTAGCTCCAGTGCTAACTTTCGGTGTATCTAACGTAGAGAATTTCCCTGCTACCTAACTGCTACCTTTCTGTGTTTCTTACAGAATGAGACAAAGACAAACACACACACAGACCTTCAGGCAAATACACACACAACAGACTCCACCTAAGAGGCAAATGATGAGGAAAATCCATCTGAGCGCTTGAAACGGTGGAGGTGATCCCCGGTGTATAAAAGCACAGAGTCATTGGCCTACTAAACTGCGTAATGTCTCTTCTAAGGACAGAGCCTGAAAGGACACTTTAATTTTGGCTCCAGAAAGAAATATAGACCCGCAGGGTTTTTCAAAACAACCTCCGATCCCACGGGACCGAGGCCCTAAATACATGCTGTTACTATAGTGCAGGAAAAACAGACAATTTTGTTTTTGGCAGATGGATTCAATTAAAGTAGAATCACAGTAAATGTGTAAATATGTTATGTCGCCTGAGCCACATCACTTCCACTCACCGTCACACAGATGACGGGGTAACCAGCTGTTGGGTGGAGGTTCTCTGGAGTCCTGGCCACGTTGTCATAGTGAAGCAGTGACACCACGTGAGGCAGCGACGGGAAGGTGACGTCAGCCATGCTGTTGGTCTCCTCGATGTACACGATCACTTTAATCGCCTGGTGCAGGAAGAGAAACGAAAGAAAACTTCAAAGTTAGCTGTTAGCTGATCTTAGCCATTTATTTATCTCGTAAGCCACTTATTGTTCCAGCTATTTGGAGCTAATTTTAAACTAATCCATTTTAGTAGCTAATATGCTTTTATTTCAGCTAGCTTACCATTTCCACTCACTGTAAAAAACAGTTCTTTACTCACCTTTACTTCGCGCTTCAAGATTTTTTCTGGCTAAAAAATTAATTTTAAGGATAGTTTAAGCTAACATTAGCTATTTAGCTACATACTGCGTTTTTGTTTAATATAAAGGTTATTTTTTTAGTAGCTTTAAGCTAACATTAGCTATTTAACTACATACTGCATTTTTGGTTAATATAAAGGTAACTACTAGTGGTTATTTTTTAGTAGATTTTTGCTAATTTCTACCTGTATAGCTAGCTAACTCGTGCTTATTTGCTGTTATTTCACATTAATCCATTTCAATCTAATGAAATAAACATTTGAATTTGGACTCATTGCAAAACCATGTGCACTATTTGTGCCACAGGAGCTCAGCCAATGACAGTATATCTAATTTTTTTATTTGACTGTTTTAATAAAACATTTATTGACAGATATTTCGCTTTTTTAAGAGGATTTAGCTCCAAAGCCTGAGTAATGCCTGACCCCGTCTGCCTCCTGCGCCGTTTTCCTCTTTAATGATTTATTATTATAGTGTAATATTTTCTCATCGCTGAAATAAAGCGCTGTTGTTGTTGTTGTTTGTCTGGGCAGGGATAACCTTGTTAAAGTGATCCCTGCTTTCAGTGGGACTGACCTGGATGAACACAGAGTAAAGAAAGACTTTTCTTTCTCTCTCAATATGTTTTTATCGAGGTCTGGCTTTGAGTTTTGTGTGAATGCTGTCTCGTGTTAAGTTTAAAATAAAAAATAAAATAAAATAAACAACTTCCTGACCTGAGTTTCAGCCACCATGTTCTCATCAGGCTTCAGGTGGAGAGTAAAGGATTCTCTCATTTCTCTGACTCCATCGAACAGAACCTCCACCTCCACCACGTGCTGTTTGTCGCCCTCTTTAAATTCAATATCTAAACACAAACATAACAAAAGAAAGGAAAGATTAAACATAAAAAACCCAATAAAAACGTTGAATGACACATATTTCTTCAAGAAGAAAGAAGAAATAAAACCCATGAGAAATGAACAAATATGTTAACAAACGGTTAATAAAGCTTTTTTTTTTTGTTGATCGACGCTTCAAATATTTATGCTCTGCATTGAGAAAAGTGTTTTCACTGAGAAAATATTGTGCAAAAAGAAAAAAGAAAACTAAATTCAACCTTGTGTGATTGAGCCAGGCTGAGGGATTTGTACTGTTTAAACAGTAGAGTTGGCAGGTATGCTTTGAATTGACTCGGTGTGTTCACACATAAATATTTCAAGCCTTGATTAAGCTCTGAAAAGTTCAGGGCACTAAAAGCTGAGTGGACCGAGAGGAGAGATTTCAGCGCTGCTGACAAAGCACTGAAAAATACTGGAATTATAGCAGAAATTACCTGACCCTGCGACTGGACCTCTGCAGAAAAATCCTCCAATATTCTGATTAAATTACAATTCAGTGACCCTTGACCGGACAAATCACTTTGACCATTTTTAAAAAAAATCACATTATTATTCCATCGGAGAAGCTTTTTTTTCACATTCGTCCAAACGTCTGCCCACAGCTGCTTCCATCTATAATGAGAGCGTTATCATCAAATCTCCAAGTCAGGAGGAAGAAGGACATAAACGTGGAGACTGTGACCATATTTACTGCAACTTAGGACTTTAACCATGGAGGCAGGAAAAGAGGAATGACAGCAGGTTTCCTTCTGCCCGAGGTCCAGATTGTTCAGTTCAGTTTACTGTAAGCTTCTTGGCTAACGTTTAGTAGATGTCATTCAATACAGACGTTAGATGTTGTTGTGTTGTTGAGTGAATTAAAACTGATGTAAATTATTTTTGTGCAAATTTGTATCTCTTTCTAGCTAACTTCTATCTATTTCTGCCATTTTGTTTTTCTTAAAATAATGACCAACTTAGAAAATTCTGACTGTCTTTATCTTCGTGGACCGAGTTTTAGTTTTTAGCAGTGAATTTTGTGTATTTTATTCCTGAGCTAACTATGTTATCTTTTTATTTTCCATTGGGCTAATCTTTAGTAACACTGAGCTAACTAGTGTAAGCTTCTTGGCTAACGTTTAGATGTCATTCAATACAGATAGTACAGACAGATAGATGTTGTTGTGTTGTTGAGTAAATAAAAATTGAGGTAAATTATTTCAGAGAAAATTTGTATCTCTTTGTGGCTACCTTCTAGCAATTTTGTTTTTCTTAAAATAATTACCAACTTAGAAAAGACTGAGTGTCTTTAGGACGTCTTGAGCTAACATTTACCATCCTGTCCAAACTGTTTGTTGTTTCTTGGATATTAATTGTTAGTAAAGCTTCTATCTTAGCTTAGCATTTTCAGTTTTTAGCAGTAAATTTTGTGTATTTTATTCTTGAGCCAAGTATGTTATCTTTTTATTTTCCATTGGGCTAATCTTTAGTAACATTGAGCTAACTTAGATTTTTTTTGCTCAAATTTACCGATTATTACTATAATTTGAAACCGTTGTTTAATAAATCTGTTATTATTTTACCTCACCTATTGTCATTGTTTTACATTGTAAACCATGACAGTTTACCTTCACGGTGTTTTGATTTTTTTTTTTTTTTGTAGCTCACCTTGTGACACAGGATGGTAGTCTTCTCCTGACACCGCTGACCCGTCTTTGGTGTGAACCCGGACCACTGACACTTTGGACGTGTCTCCCAGTCGAACCACAGGAATCTTAACGGTCGCCACAGATCCCGCCTCTTTGGGTTCGCTGACGCTGACCTTTTTCTCCAGGAAACGGATGATGGGTTCTAAAGTGCAGAGAACATTAAATGAATCTTTTAAAAATATTTCTGTAATATTAACTTTAATCTGAATTTTTTCAATACTTTGGACTCACTGTCAGCTGTGTCCTTGATTTTGACCAGGGTCTCGTTCTGAGCCCCCAGTGATGCTCCAAACTGGGAGTCGCTCTTTGGGCTGCCTAACAGCAGCCTCAGCTCTTCTCCATCTTCAAACAGAGTGTCGTCAACCAGCGACAGAACGCACGGCTTCTCCACCTCACCTGGAGCAGGACGGATGGTAAAAAGGAAAAGTGGGAATTTTGTTTGAATGACATTAATAATTAGATTTTTCTGAACTTGAACTTTTCATCAACTTCAACTTCCTCGGCTACCTGTTAACTACTACTCTGTTTGAACTGGCTGTTTTGACTGTTATCTTGTTACCTTTTCTTTGTTCTTTACTTAGTTGTTAAAATATAAACTGAAAAAAAAAACAATAGAAAATAAAGACACAGCAGGTTAAGTGTCAGACCCGAGGCACTTGATGTCACCAAACACGTGTGAAAGTAAGAGGAAGAAAAAGCCGTGAACTCCTGCCAGAGCTGTTTATTCTATAAAAGTGTGTCGACTCTCGGGATGAGACCACACATACGAAAGACAGGAGTTTAAACATGTGATTCCTGACGTACCGGGCGAGAAAGTGATGAGGGACGTCTCTGTGTTGGGCCGTTCGTCGAAGTCCGTGGCGACCTGAGCCGAGCCCTGACGGGTGTAGCAGCGGACGGTGGATTTGTGCCGGATGTCACCGCTGCGGTACACGATCGCAGCGATCTCTCCGTCACTCTCCTCTCCGGTGTAAACGGCTGCTCGGAACTGGACCTTGGGCACTGAGGGCGTTCAGTGGTTACATTAATTAAACTACCTTCAAAATGCTAATCAAAAACAGGACTTTTGCAACAAGCCCAAACAGAAACCACGCAAAAGCAGCAGTGCCTTCGCTGTCCTGGGAAAAAATTAGGAATTGCAGCACACACGTCATGGATGCAATTCATTTTTGTTTGTCAAATTTTTTTTACTTAAAACCACTTAAACTACCTCGGCAATTAAAATCCCTGTCATAAGGAAAAAAATGCTAATGTGAGTTATTATATTATTATGTATTTTTCAAAACATTCCATTTCATTTGGTTAGTATTATTCATCTCCCCCCCCCCCCCCTCTTCTCCGTTGCCTCCGTGTTAAACCAACTTCCATAAACCTGCTAAGTTAATTTAAGTTAAACTTGTTTAATTTTACACATTCCAGAAGACATACATTAGCAGGAGATCTCCAGGAGTTACACCTCATCACACACCTCTGAGATGTCTAACATAGTGTTTTGCGCGCACACACACACACACACACACACACAGACGTTAGCACCACTGTTAGGGATCCTGCCGTGATGGTTGGCCAGCGGGCCATCAACACATCTGTAAATATTTTAGCGTCAGCAGCAGGAAGACAAACCTCAGCATCACACCCGACTTTTCTTCTCTTCAGTTTTAATTAATGTTCACTGTGAAACCAGAAAAGTCAGTTGTCCTCAGCAACACCCCCCTTTCCCCCCCCCCCCCCCCCCCCCCCCCCCC